AAGGTATTTATTTTCATATGACAATACCCCCAGAGTATGTCTAAAAAGAACAAAATGATTTCGTCCATCTGTGCTTGAGTTATAAATTGGTGGTGTTGTTGGCACCCCCTATATTCCAAAATGAAAATGCTTTGGTGAGCCTATTCCCCAATACAGACTGAACCTATCCACCAAATTATGTGATATTTGGATACATTGTTGATGAGTTATGATCATTAGCTTCTAAGCCCTGCCTTTTTGCAAATACGTTTTGATTAATGGCGGCCATATTTATCGACTGAACATGCTCATTTCCTAGGGTGATGTGTGTGACCCTCCATCGATGCTGTATACGAAGTTTGGTATCAAGAAACTAAACATTTAAATGTAAGTGTTTGTTAATCAAAGTAGGCGGAGCTTAGAGGTTCAAGAGGACCAAATGTAGAGCAGGTCCACCTGGATAAGTCTGCAACATTTCAGGTCAAACATACGGTGCGACTATGTTAATTTGTCAGTAATGATTTACATATAGGAGGCGTTAGCGACCAAGTTGGACAATTTGAACCCATTGACTCCAGAATGTCACATTTGTCACCGGTCCTGGCGTCCGTGCAAATGTATACAGCTTTTGAAGCGTCCTAAAGCCTAAAGCTATTAATAGTAATAGTAGATCTCAAGCTCCCTCTCATTTAAAGATGTATTCAATGTACTAGTGACAATAGGAATGTAAGACGCAGAAGTTACGGATGAAAAATATAAAATAAAACAAGTTATGTTTGTGGTAGAAAGGTATATTGTAATTTCAAATTGAATACATTTAATTTACTATAATAACCATAACAAATGTTTATGACTAATGTGAATATAAATGTACAGAGATGTATCGTCTATCATACTCTGCATTTTGCATTTATTCGGTTTTTGCGAAGTTACACATCAGCATTTCTACACTTTTATCACATGTTTTTATAGGTTCTGCCTTTTGAATTTTATCCTTCATAATTATTTATAAATCTTTAATGATTTCTAAATGTAATAGATGGAAAATCTTGTTAAACTATGAAAGTTTAGAGATGTTTCTGTGCTGACTGCTGAGCGCTCTTGAGAGTTTGGATGTCAGTGCTTTGAGTCCTCTTCCCAACATTTACTCAGAACATTTAAAAGTGTCTTTCATACATGTTAAATCCTCCTAAACGCTACTGAGGGATTTTTAAATGTATCATCAGGGAGCTTTAAATATTCCTTTTTGTTTACTTTTCAACATTTCACTGAGATCAGCCATTAAGATGCATGATGACAGTTATATAGAGATGTGTTATTTTAATATTCCAACAGAATAACAAAACATTATGGATATTCAAATATTCCTTTTTGTGTGCACATTCACTTAGAAGTATTTTTTTATAGAAGCTGAGCGCTGTATTTTTTTCCTGTCAATCAGATCGGCTCAGGTTGCTCTCTTTAAAGGAAATTAAAAGATTAAATCTATTTGAAAAATGAAAATATTATGTTTCATTTATCCAGGGGAATGAGTCGTTACGCAAGAGAGAGCCGTATTAAAGAGGACATAATGGGCTCATTTCCAGGTTCATATTTTGTGCCTTTACTGTGATACTGCTTTCACTATGTTAGAGGTAAACAAAGGAGTCCAATGGAGGCGTTTCAGGCAGAGAAATGTTTGCCTTTGCAGACCATTTACATGCACTAAAACCTATACAACACTCTACAGGAAAGGGAGAACCCCAAAAGGCATAATAGAGCCTCAATAAGTATTTTCAATTCACGACACCCCCATGTAAATGTGCAATAAGACATACACACACAGAAACTAAGCACAGTGGAAGATTGTACTTTTCTCAAAATACAGATGTGTCCTTCAACAACTAGGGTGGTCTAGTGAGATGAAAAATGAGATTTAGGTGTGGACAAAACGAGTGGAAAGCACTGGATTGATCAATGGATGGGCTCATTAATGGATAGGTTGTTTGTCAGTCAGACAGATGCACTTGTACTATAAGTGCACAGACTTTGGGCCAAAAGCAGAGGGAAATAAATGGACGTAAGATGAGTGTGAGAGCGGATTGATTGATGGATGAGTGCATCAGCAGATGGATAGAGAGCCGCGGAGCTGCATGAGAGCGCAGGTGATGAGGGATGTTGTATGTCTCTTCTCTGTGGGTGTGTTTGAGAGTAGGGGCTCAGTCGTTCTTTGTGTATGCATTTAAGTCGTGAAAATATAGCGTTCACAATCTGCATGGTTATCATGTAACAATGTGTGTCTGCATGGGTTTTTGTGTTCATGTAAGTGTTTCCATTAGCTGGTATTTACCGGACTTTGATGGTTAAAAATCTGCTGAAGTCAGAACATTTTAAATCTCTTTGGTCATCATATTCGGTGTATCTTATTCCCCCTTAAGCACACTTTGAAGTGTGTTAAAAAGGCGTAGAAAGTAGACTAAAATAGCACAAGCCTGCAATAAGTTATTGTTATATTTTCCTTTGTTTTCACAGAGTTTGGGTTCTATTTGTTTTAGGCAGTAACTAAGGCTATTTGAAGTCAGCCGCAGCATGCCGTGATTAAAATGTAATAAGCCAGATGTATATTTTGGTTTATTTACAATGATTTTATTCCATTTTATTTTATCCGAAATGTTTTACGCCTGAAATAAAGGGACATTTTGCATCATAATTATCATATTGCTGCTATAAGCAAGTCTGTGAAGAGGACTTGTTTTGTTTGAAGTAGTCTACTTTGAGTTTCTTCTTTAAATAGCGTTCCTAAAAATGGTTTGTGTAAAACTCAACAATAAACACAGATAATATTTGACCAAATGTCTTTATGTTTGTCTTTTGTTCCGGGCTTTAAAATGTTCCCAGTCTGCACGGTATCAGTGTCTCTGTGCAAACCCTACTCTCAGTATCCATTGATCCTCTTGCATGTTACAGTAAGTGTGTTTGGCTCTTCAGTCTGGACACATTCATTAGCTGCCATTCCACCTTGTTGCCCCTTAATGATTACAACAAAGCAGCACCAGTTTAATTAAAGTCCACAGCTCCTCCCGAACCAAACCGAGCCCCCTCTGTGCTGCATGCAGAGGTTCAGTGAGAGGGGGGGGTAGGTCAGTGAATGCCATGTTATTAATTAAACCTGAAGGGGCTCTGAGAAAAAAGTCCCCTTGATTGTTGATAAAGTCTTGCAAATAACAAATGATAAGGCAAAGCTGACCATGATGAGTACAACAATGTGTTATTGTTTATTAATAATAAGGTATCAAGTAATCATGACCAATTGTGCAGCCATGGTACCTTTGTCTGGTGCTTGTGGTGGCAGTAGCTGGACGACTCTTTGTAGTGCATTCTGGGAAAGAAAAATGTCGCCATGTTTGATTAAAAAGTAGAAAATGTTGGCACGACACTGCCTACAGAAGCAAATGCTGAAATACCGCTAGACTTCACAAAGCAACTTTAAAAAAAAAAAAAGCCCTCTTTTAATGTTGTCTTTTGAAAATCATACATAATAATTTACATATATTTCAAGTCAACAAAGCAGTCACTTTAAGATTCAATGTATTGTCATTACATAGTACAGGTACTATGTAACAAAACGGTTTCTCTGCATTTGACCTAGTGTTAGGAGCAGTGGGCTGCCATTATGTACGGCGCCCGGGGAGCAGTGTAGGGAACGGTGCCTTGCTCAGGGACACCTCGGTAGCACTTGGTCTTTCCGGGACTTGAACTGGTGACCTTCCAGTTGCCAAGCCAAGTCCCTATGGACTTCGACACCAATCTGTTGAGGTGAACTTTCAGGCCTTATTCTAACATTTAACAAAACAAAGCTTTGAACAGTCTCGAGCTTTAATTCTGCTCTCTGTATGTGGTTAAAAAAGTCACTTCAGTCAAAATCAATTTAAGCTGACTCTTTGTTCAAGGACTATACCGTATAAGCTATAAGGAAATATTAACCATTGGACACATTTGTACACCCTTTAGCTTTCTAGTGTCTGAGTCGGCATTTCT